TCACACAAGCTAGAGCCTTGCTGATGCCCTTCATACCTAAAGACACAAATAGCTGTAAGCAAAGGACTGATCTCTCTATGTGTCCTTACGTTCCTCCTATCAAGCTAACTGGTTTCAACATTTCTATAGCAACAGCAGCCAAGACACCCATTGTATGATACAGCTTCTCTATAGTATCACAATGATAAGGATCAGACTAATCCCTTATGTAGTCAATAGTTTCATGATACAAAAATAATACACTTGCCCATTCCTTATCTGTGACATTAGGGAACTGTTAACTTCCTAAACAAGAGCACCCTGGTACTAGGAAGGTAAATGATATACCAGAGAGTTAGGACCAAGACAGATGGATTCTACTTAAATCATTTTACTTCCTAATAAAGTTTAGGACTCTTAAATTTCAATCTGTTTATTTATTCAAAACAAAGAATAATCAAAACTAATAACTTACAAGATCTGACTTTCCAACTAATACTAGAAGCATCAGCTAAAATAACTAGGACATAGTGTATTTATTGCATTGACCCAAATGAATATAACTAAACCTGTCCAACAGGGAGTAGCATATAGTTTAAGATGTGAGCTCACTGTCTGTAATTGTCTTGTCAACCAGAAATAGTTTTCTAAAGAACACTTCAAGAGGATAGGTGTAGTGGCATATGCCAGCACCTACTGAGGTGAGGCAGGAGGATCATATGCTCTAGGTCAAAACCAAGAACTGTGGGCAATGCCCTCACTATTGCATCATTGTAGTGACATTGATAATTTGAGTAGAACATCTAAATTAAAAAAAATGAGGTTAAGTCATTTTAAAGATATGCAATTTTCACTCAAATTTCTTTAAGTATTTTATAATGATAAAAGGATGAAAAATATATTTTTGCTTTAAAACATCATTCATAAACATAATGTAAATCTAAACAAATGAGAGGCCAAAAAAAATTACCACCTAGGCATACAAAATTACCACCTAGGCATACTGAACACATATTCACAGTGGGTTAATAAACAGAAAACAAGTGAAATACTTGTGACAAGAGCTGTAACACCACACTGAATTAAGTCTGTCCAGCCACAGATGCTGGTACACAAAGATTAAGAATTTAAGGGACCTTAGGAATATACTAATGTGGTAAACCAAGTCTGAAGATATTACTGGGCATTTAATCTCAGAGTAGAGAAACATTAAATTTAAATGTGATTTTAGGCTTACCAATAACTGATTTAGGAAGAAATTTAATTTTTGTTTTGTAGGCCTCACTGAGTGGTTGGTCCTTAGATAGAAATAATTAACTAAGCCACTGCTTTCAATATTCTTATTCCATCAAATAGGTTAAAAAACGAAACATAATAAGAAAAAGAAAAGAAAGACCCAGGGATTTGATTATCTTGGCTTTGTTTACAATGTCTTTGGGACACCTGTGTCCAGCAGTGTGACAGGGGCTTCCTGGCTGTCATTCTAGCTCCTTTAGAGAGACAAATAACCCTAGTGCTGTCTGTAGTCCTTAAGCCTACCTGCAAAGCAAGCTTGCTCTAATTCATGCTTCTTGCTTTTCTACTTTCTGTACTTTCGGTATATAGCTCATTAGAAGCAGGAAAGTTTAGTCGAAACTGAAAGTTGCTGATAGTGCCATTGAGGGCACCAGGCCTGTGTTGAACATAGAAATCAATTCTGGACAGGGGGTCTTTGCATAAAGTGGAACTGAGTTCTGATAAGACTTAAATTACCTTTCCTGGGAGCCATGGGAAGATATCATTAAAAAAGGACCACGATTACAGGTTCTTATGAGGGAGAGAAATCATAGAAAAGATAGTAAGGTTCTTCATTATCTGAATCCACTCAGCGCTTCCAAGTGTATGATTAAATATCTCCCAGATAGCCTTCCTTGCTGTGAGTGCACTATGCAACCAGAACAGAGGGTGTCAGCATCCTAAATAATCTCAGAGATCTTACTAACAGAGTCTGAATTCTGAGCTGTCACAGTATAGAAAACGATAAAAAAAATAAAACTAAAGCCTTGCTATGCACCCAGGAAAACATACATTAAACAAAAATGGAAGATAGGTATATCCAAGTAGCAAAACAGCTTCCTAGAACTAAGTCAAGTCTGAGCCTCACTGCACACACCAGAAATGGTAAATAGGTCCCCAAATCTAATTGTATTTAAGGTCAGAAATACCATTTGTTCAATAGCTTCTCCTGAGTAGATCAAAGGTGCTTACACAGATTGCCTCATTTCATCTTCAGGGATCTTACGGAAAAATACTACCAACATTCCCAGTATATAGATGAGAAAAACCGAGGCTTAGAAAGATCAGGTAACTTACCCAAGACAGAAAGCTTTTACTGAATCCAATTCAAACTCATGTTCTCTGCATACTGTTACAGTTTCCCATTATCGTATGTAAGACATTTGGTTACAAATCATAAGAATAAACAGCTTAAGAAGCCTTCCACAAAAGCATTGCTGTGGTAGCAATGATCACTGACACAGTCAAAAGGGGACCAAACAGGAGCCATGACAAATATATCTGGGCACAGGGGTTTTTTCTGAGACTGTTTCTCCAACCAAGGACCATACATGGATATAACCTAGAACCCCTGCTCCGATGGAGCCCATGGCAGTTCAGTATCTAAGTGGGTTCTCTAGTAAGGGGAACAGGGACTGTCTGTGACATAAACTCAATGGCTGGCTCTTTGACCTCCCCCCTCCCACCCCGAGGGAGGAGCAGCCTTGCTAGGCCACAGAGGAGGACATTGCAGCCAGTCCTGAAAAGACCTGATAAGCTAGGGTCGGATGGAAGGGGAGGAGGACCTCCCCTATCAGTGGACTTAGAGGGGGGCAGAGAGGAGATGAAGAAGGGAGAGTGGCAATGGGAGAGAATGAGGGAGGTGGCTACAGCTGGGATACAAAGTTAGTAAACTGTAACTAATATAAAAAAATAAAAATTTAATTAAAGAAAGTAACAGCATGGGAGAAGGAGAGAGAGGGAGGGTAGGTTTGGGAAGGGATAAGGGAGGGGGCTAGAGCCGGGATACAAAGTGAATAAATTGTAATTAATAAAAATTAAATTAAATTTAAAAAAAGTAACAGCTCCATGGTAGAAAAGTGCTAGACAGCTGGACAAGGCTTTGTTGACTTTGCTACTAATACTTGCAGCAATAAACGATTTCACAATGGTGTCCTGAATCACTAGAAAGTGCAGCCTGCTAAAAGAGGTCAGAATTATACAAGGTCTTCCTCTTTTCAACCAGGATTTCAGAGGACGGTACTTGAGGAGCTGAATGACATAGGAGCGTTTGCTGACCACACTGTCTCTCATTGTAGATGCGGCTGCTTGCAGATCAACAGGGCATTGGTGCACTCATCTTTACAGTCTGAATAACTAAACACATGCAGTACTGCCCAAGTCACAGGACGAGGAAAAAATGAGACGAATGTAGCCTGGCTCTAACTCCAACGGTAATCAGAGGCCACCTTTCTCCTGGGTCTCTAGTCTCAATTCTAAAGACAGCAGTTAGGCAAGTGACCTTAAAACAGTTTTTTCTCCCCCTCGCAGCTCTACTAGCTAGATGACATTATAATGATGCTACATGTGTTTAAGTTGCTCCTAGAAAGAAAAGAAAATAAGATATGACCTAAGAGATGCAATGAAATCAATCATGAAGAACTGAACTCTGTACTTCACATCCCAGTGTTTCGATAAACTCAGGTTTTCGGAATATTCTTACCAATTGTGCTGGCTAGATTTATGTCAACTTGACACAAGCTAGAGTCGCTGGAGAAGAGGGAACTTCAATTAAGAAAATGGAACATAAGATCTTGCTAGAGGCAAGTCTGGAAGGCATTTTCTTAATGAGTGACTGATGGTGAAGGCCCAGCCCGTTCCTGTCCCTACGCTGGTGGTCCTGGGTTACGTGATAAATCAGGCTGAGCAAGCCATGGAAAGCCAGTCAGGAAGCAGCACTCCTCCATGGCCTCTGTATCTGCTCCTGCCTCCAGGTTCCTGCCCTGACTTCCATCAGTGATGGAAAGTATAAGCTGAAATAGACTGTTTCCTGAAAAAGCTGCTTTTGGTCAAGGCGAAAGTTTCCTCATAGCAGCAGTAACACTAAGACAACAAGCAAGGTAGAAATTCCAATAAAATTGAAATCTGGAGATCTGCAAATTTCTGAATCTCATTACCTTATTCTCAAGGTTTCTTTGGTCTTGGAATGCCATGGCAGAGGATACAACCATGACTATATTGTAAGTTTGCAAAAAAAGTACTATTTTTTCCATGAACATGTTCAGCAGATAGATCAAAACCATAAAGATAGTAAAGAAATTTACTTTGGGCATGAAGTTTTCTCATTCAGCAATCTATTCTATCAGGAGGTAGCTTAATAGCATTTTATAGGGATAGTTAATCTAAGAAAATGTGACTTATTTTTAGTCACTAAGCTTTGCTATTCAAAATTAGCTTTGTTCTTTTAGAACAGAAAACCATCACTACCACAGTCAGAATTAGAATGCAATTCTCTTTAAGGTACTCTATAATAGAGAGTTTCTTTACATCATAGACATCTTGGGGGATTAGGGAGGGAAAAGTGATTTTGAAGAGATAATTAGTTCCGAAGTTTGGAAGGCCACTGACAAATTCAGCCACCTGCTAAGTCTTCTGAAACACACTGGGACTTCAAACGCAGGCTGAGACAGAATAGCAGGAGCTATGACTTTGATACATCATAGAGAACACAGTTTCTGTAGACATGCATGAAACCCACAGGCCAGACAACCGTTCTGGCAGACCTTTAGTCGAAAGGCAGCCCTTTCCCAATACAATTATCTGACCTCATAAGAACTGTAACCATATAGAAAAAAAATACAGTATGCCAATTTACATATGTATGCATCTTTTGAAGTTCAAAGAACTGATGGCGACATTTATGTGGAGTGAGTGGTGCTTGGTCAAATAAGAGAGAGAGAGATGATTGACCCAGTGTGGACACTTACAATGTAGCAGGGCTCGCAGTACGCCTTCTTCTCCACGGCGTAGAAGGGCTGTCCTCGCAGCTTGTTGTTACACACGATGCAGGTGAAACAGTCCACATGGAAGACCTGATCCATGGCGGTGCATCCTGTTCCTTCCCCAACCACGTTTTCCCCGCAGCGAGCACAGCGGCCTGGAAGATAAGGGGAAGTCTTATCGAGAAGCTGTTAGATCCATCTAAGGAAGCCAAGATGAGGGAGACAGCAGGTTCATCTTGAGGCAGCAAGAGATTCAGCACTACTGGCATTGGCATATTCAATATCCAGCCCACCCTATTGGTCTCCACTGCCATCGCTGTACTAACTACCATGGTCTCCCCTGGGTACAGCATGTGTCTATCTGAGTCAAATGAGGAGACCGCTAAGGTCCCCAAGAAAGAGATGGAGGACAACTCATATGCTTGATCCTGGGGCTCAGGTACCGCCTCTAATCATATATGGGTAGAAACAGGATTCAGAATGTTAGGGCTGAAAGACACAACCTACTGAACAAAACAGTTCAGGCAAGCCTTTGTCTCCGGGAGTCTTCACATCAGTTAGCATATGGGGATCTTTTCAAGTCCTGGTGGTCAAGCTTCTGTAGCAGGCCCTCAGTGATGGGCAGATCAAGTAGTAGGTAGTCATCTCTATTTCCAGAGCACTGAGACTGCTGGGAGGTTTTGTTCCCTGTGGAGCCACTAATGCAACTCCATTCTGGCTGCTCCCCTTGGTTTTAGTCTGACTTCTGGGGCTCATGAAGCGAGTCTCATTTTGTGCACTGGACACCATCTAAGATACCAAAATCCGGCCAGCATTGCCTTTCAGACTGTGCTTAATCTGAACATATCTACCTGATTTAATGGCTCCATGTATTGTAGGGTTGGGAGTTCCTTGAGGTCCTAATGCTTACTGTCTATTCTGGAAAACTACAGCATTCACATTAATTAATCAGACAGAGGTCACACATGTATATGCAACACGTTAGGATTTAAACAACATATTAGCATTTAAACAGCAATAGAATATAATTTAGGATAACATTTCAAGACTAAGTATAGCTCACTGATAGAACATTTGCTTAATACACGCTAGGATCGTGAGTTCAAACTACAGGACCAGAAGGAAAAATAAATAAATAAAAGGGGGAGGGGGAACTAGTCTGAGTAAGAGGCTCTGTATCCCAATACCCTGAGATGGAAAGGGCCACAGCCACCTTGACTCTGTACAGTTCCTGTTTGCTAAGGCAGAAACAAGAGTCTACTAGGTAACCATAGGCAACAGGGACTGTCAACAAGCACCTTGGGCATTTTGCACGTAAATATCCTAGACCTAGCTTCATGGATGGCCAACATTTTACTTTTGAGGCTCTTGTATTAACTCATTTACAATTCACGACACCCTGTGTAGACACACAACCATTGTTCTTATTCTAAAGAAGAGGAACACAAGTCACAGAAAATGACTAACTAATTCATGCCCAGGAAGCCTTGTTTGAAGTATCTGTCCCAACCCCACGGCTGCAGTGCCTGTGATGAGCTCTTATGATCATTAGTACAGATCTGGCATTCTGGAGCATTCTGGAGTGACTTCTCCCTGAAAATGGCTTTCAGCACCCTGTCACATTGGACTGACAGCCACTTCACACTCAAAACTGGGAGGGGTAAATGTTTCAATAAGTGAGAAGAGGTAAGTATATTTCTCTCTGGTTGCATTTGGTCCTGGAACTATTCCTTTGAACTCTGTTGCAGGATTGGAGCATATCTTTTAAAAAATAAACACGCAAACTTGAAGTATAATCAATCAAATATTGAGAAAAGAGTTCAAGTCTTAAAAGATGGACTGTGTCTGCTACAGTTGTATTATTGTGAAGTTTCAATGTTAACTTGTGATATTTAATATAATTATGATATTGTAATATGGCTTGTAGCTGATTTTAATGAATTTCTACCCAAGAGTTACCTTATACTTATTTTTAACTATAATTTAAAATATTCCTTGCAATTCATGTACTTTTCTGCTTATAGTAAGAAAAAAAACTTTCATTTGGCACCAATTTTTGAGATTATGTTGAAAATACCCCTTCTCCAAATTTACCTGGTTTACTATAAAACTAAGTAGCCTTGTTTGAAAACTGATGCTATACCTCTGAGAATTTCATGTCAACAAATGACATTTCACTGTAGAAAACACACTGATGGGTGAGGAAAACAGATTAATCCATGTGACATTATTAAGAGCCCATTGGATTCCTATTAGAAGTAAAATTTTATATTATAATTTTAGTAAGTCAACTTATTTTTTTATATTAACTTTTTCCTTTCTATATGTAAAAAAGGATCCCTTAATAGGAAGCACAAAGGATCTAAGAAACATATGTTACCCAAATAAGGATGGGATCACAGGATGGGCATGGTGGCTTGCTGGGCAGCAGGAGCAGCTGTTTTGGTTTTGAGCATGAAAGCTCAAAGCGCAGCACATGGAATAAAGGGCCTGAGCCTAGAAGCATCTGGAAAGCTGGACAGCTATCCTGGGTCTGGAGCAACTTTAACCACCAGCTTACAGGGAAAACCTGTCTTGAAAGAAAAGTTTTGCTTTTCAATCTACTTAGTGGACACTCTAAGGGTCTGCTCTTTGTCCAGTACTACGGTCTTCTTTTGTGTGACATGAAGAAGTGGACTAGTCACCACCAGCCCTTCTTACAGTGATTAAGAAACTCCCTACATTCAACAATCCAGGACAACATGTGCGGCTTGTCGCAGGAGAAAGGTGCTACAAAAATCAAAGACAGCTCTTTAAGACTTTCCCGAGGAAACGAGCAATTGATTTTGACCTTAAAGGATGGACTTTTGACAGGAAGAGGTGGAAGACAGAAAAACAGCACATTTTTTCCCCCAAAGAAAGGATCAACGTCTGTGGCCTGCTGGATGCAAAATGCTGTAGTGTCTAGTGATGGCACAACCAGGTTTTGTCTGCTCGCCACAAAAGCAGATGGCCTGCGTTCCCAGAAACAATTCTCTCTTTATGTCTGGGGAATATTCTTCCAGAGTAGGTCGGGGCTTGTGTGCTGGACCCAGACATGACCAGTTCTGTTACCCCCAGTATTTTTCCTGTTCTTGGGATAAATTAGGGACACTAGCCTCAAGGGCAGCCAGTCTGGCACCTTACAATTCACAAGCATAGAAAATAAAACAGCAAAGAACAAAAGTTAAAAATAGCTCTACAAACCAGCAACTGAAAAAAGGTGCCCAAATGTTCCCCTTTTGCATGAACAAAAATGTATAAACTGTTCCCTGGAGAAGAGGGCATTCAGAAGGCAAAGCAGGCGATACAAGCAGAGGGTATCCCTGCCGCTGGACAGACTTAGAGTACACACTAGTAAAATCATATCACAACCTTAATGCCCATTCTTTGGACAAAATTCTCAGTGTGTTCAATAGGAAAGGCCAGAGGACTATTAACACAGTTGAACAGGCAGCAGGGAGCAGGGGCTCTGACACAGGGCCGGCACAGAGCTTCTAAGCAAGACTCAGCAAGTCAAATGAACCAGAGGCAGAGGACCAGGAGCCGGCACGCATATCCAAAGATCTCATATGTTACTGCTGCCCTGGGAGAGTGAGATTCTTCACTCTTCTGCATTAGCATTTTTATGGCTCTTGCCATTGTTCACATCTTGTTTATTTTTGATTAGTTTATTTTTATGTATATAGGTATTTTGCCTACATGTTTCTGCATTATGTGTACCTGGTGTCTCGGTGCTGGATATCAAACTTGGGTCCTTTGGAAGAGCAGTCAGTGCTTTTACTCCTTAGGCTTTCTCTCCACAGTGCCAATTTCATCCCTCCTCCACTGACAGGACACTGAGGCTGGTTACTTCAACTCACCACTGAGAACAGTATTCATAAGCAAAATATCCATGTGATGTGCTGCCTTGCAGTCTTCAAGATACACTGCGAACAGCACCACCACAAGCTTGATAGGCAAGTACCTCTGGTATGCACAGTCTCTGAGGTGAGTCCCCTCAGGTGGTAGGGCTTGGTCATATGGTAGACATATTTTTAGTCTGAGAAGCTGTGGTACTCATTTTTGGAATGGCTGAACTAGGTTACAATCTCATTAGCACTGTCTAAGGTCTTCCTCTTGTTCTCCCATCCTCCAGCATTGACTGTTACTTGTTTTCCAAATGACTGACATTCTGACAGGGGTAAAACGGAATCTAAAGGAGGTTTTAATTTTAATTTCTATGATGACTAGTGAGGTTGAACATTTTTTCTCACATTTATTGGGTGTTTAATGTTTTAGTTTTTGGAACTGTGTGCTCATTTCATTAGTCTATTTATTGACTGTATCATTTGATTTCTTGTTATTTAGCTTTTTGAGTTGGCTGTGTATTCTGGATACTAATCTCCTCTCAGATGTATACTGCTCTATACTCAAGAAAATGTGCCATAGACAGATTGTGTATTCTCAGGCCGAGAAATCAGTACTGAAATTTCAATCAGTGCCTATGTAGTCTACTCACTTACTGCCTTTGGAAATATAAATCCCTAAAGACATCTGGCCTGATAGAATGTTCATGAAACATTCTTACCTTGTCTTTGGCCAATGTAATTTTCTCCTCAAGTTAGTCACTACCCAGTATTGTTTAGCCCTACTTTTAATTCTGAAGCCATCCTTAGTAGCTCTGATTTCAGGGTTGATCTGTTAACAGAAAAACTGATATTGAGTAGAGTAGTTAAAGCAGTACCCGAATATTTACCTTTAAGGTATGTTTGAATTTATTCCCTGGTTTCTGTCATGAAAATCTGTATTACCTGTAGCTTCATTCAAAGGTTAATGCAGCCCGCATACTTTGAGGTTTGTGGTAGAAGATATTCTAGTTTATTCTGGTTATCCAGCGGTAAGTCTAACTTTGAGGTGACCCATGGGGACGTGTCTCTGAAGGTACGGTGTGTCAGCATCCTGCCCAGGGCATCAACAAGTGCACCTTACACTAACACAGTGTCTTTCAGCCTTCAGAAACTTTCTTACATGTTGATGTAGCAGAAACCTTCAATAATCTTATAAGGCAAAAATACCAACCAACAATGAGAAGGCTGAAATGCCAGAAAGTTCAGTGACCTATGGAACTAGCTAAGTGTTCAATGAGGGATATAAG